TTTATTAGAAGATTGCAGCTAACTAAATCTCCTAAATATTGATATTTGTTATTGTAATACATTCATTCCAGAATATAGTTCTAAGCTATAAATATTGAAGTTTTCTTCAAAATGTAATGTGAAAAAATTGCAGAGTGAATATTTTTCTCTGAAATCCAAGAAACAGGAAACATTGATTGCCTTTTGATAGTAAAACTAGACAGTGGGAAGGAAATGAGGACTTTTCACTGAAAATCCTTTTTTAATTGTTTTGACTTTGAATTTTAATTCATATAGTAGATATCTAAAATTTCTGAAACACTTTAGCATAATAAGTCCAATCAGACAGAAGTATTTTATATAATTCCTATGTCAATATTAGTGTGAACATTCATTAATCTGAATATTCATTGTCTTCATCGATAACAACAGAAAAATTGCTAGAAAGTTGGCAACTATATATGATGTGGTGTGTATAGAGTCTGTAAAAAATGATCTCTCTCTCTCTCTCTCTCTCTCTCTCTCTTTTGGCAGCATGCATATGCATTAGAACTTCTGTTTGATCAGTTGCATGAAGGCGCTAAGGCCCTGGATGTTGGGTCTGGAAGTGGAATCCTTACTGCATGTTTTGCCCGTATGGTAAGGGCTTTTATTTCCATTGTGATCCTAACAGGAATGCATTTATATGATTTAGCTATAATTTTTTTTTCACTAGTTGTTTTGATTTTATTTGTTCTATTAAGATAGTAGTTTTAAGGGCTGGAGAGATGGCTCAGTGGTTAAGAGCACTGACTGTTCTTGCAGGTTTGAATCCCAGCACCCACATGCCACATGGCAGTTAACCATTTGTAACTCCAGTTCCAGGCATCTGACGCCCTCTTCTGTCCTCTATGGACATTGCACAACACAGGTTCATTTACATACATGCAGGAAATACACATGAACTAAAAGTAAATACATTAAAAAAATTTTTTTTTAATGGTAATTTTAGCTGGCTGTGATGGCATGCCTTTAATCACAGCATTTGGTAGAGGCAGGCAGATCCCTGCGAGTTCAAGACCAGCAAGGGGTATGTAATGAGACCCTGTCTATTTTTTAAAAAAGATGGTAATTTTAATATGCATCTTAGGATTTTGTTGTTATTATTGCAAGTGACAGAGTATTTAACCCAACCTGTCAGATCTCTAAAGGAATTTTATTTAGGTTATCCAATGGAAAAGTGTAGGGGCACACCTGGCTTCTTGTGTGGCTGAACTTAGGAGACCAGGCTTTATTGCTGACTGGTTTCTCTGTGGGTTGTTGGCTTGCTTTTACAGTCTTGTACTTGTTATCTTCAAGTTCAGATAGCCTCTACCCTGTGATTCCCAAAGTGGAGTGTAGTAGCTCACAAACTACATTCTTAAGTTCTCATCTGACAAAAGAGTAAGGTGGGCCTGGTTTTCAGGTACTTTTACATGTTTCTATGAGTGAAAGTAGATCTTTACGTTAGGGAAAAGTACTGGTTTTCTTACTGGAACTTCTCTGGTAAGGGGCTGTCCAAAGGGTGGACTAGGATCCCCTAAAGCACCATGTGATAAGGTTCATTTCTTCTCAGACAGATAATCAAATCAGGTTGGTTATGAGAATTCTACCTTGTGCCCATTGCTACATTGCAAAGTCTGATCTACTTAAGTTGAGATATATGGCTCTGTCTTGGACTAGAGTTTGTATAACTTGCCATAAAATGATCAGTAGATCCTATAGCTCCTAGGAATTGGGAATTTTGCCTAAACATTTTTTTAAATTGCTGTATCTTTTTTTTTCTTAGTGCCATTTGCTTGGTATATTTTTTTCCATCCTTTCACTTTAAGGTAGTGTCTGTCCTTGAAAGTGAGATGAGTTGCTTGCAGACAACAAACCTAGTCTGTGTCTTTAGA